AAACATCCGCAACCCTCCAGTATGCTCAGCAAGCGGTGCTCGTCGTACAGTTGGAACGAACGGTCCACGCCGTCCCCACCATAGGCCCGGTCACTGACGGTGGCTACCCCTGAGCCGGTCTTAAACATGAGTTGCAGGACACCGCCGGGGGCCAAGACTCTCGCCAACTCCGGAATCGTCGTAGTTTCGGTGGCATCGGGCGTCAGATGCTGTATCACCGCGTTGCAAAGTACGAAATCGAAGAACCCTGACTCAAAGGGCAGGGGTTCCCGCAGATCGGCAACGCTGAGCTTGTCCTCTATTTCCGGGTGCACCTCTCTCCCCAGCCTGATGTTCTCCTCCACCGCGTCAATTCCATAGACGTCATACCCCCGTGTGTGCAGCAGGTGAACGTCCCGGGCCCCCGCCCCACACCCTGCGTCCAGGCCGCGTTTCCCCCAAGCCAGCTCGGTAACCCGATTCAGCAGGTCCATGTCTCCCCTCAGCGCCGGATGAGAGGAACCGGTGTATACCGAATGGGTTAACTCGTGAGACAACTGCGAGTATCTCTGGGCGTGCACCTTGTAAAAGTCCAGCGAGTCGAATTGCATATGGACACCTTTGCAGTGGGACGGATCCCGTTGCAACGAATTATTATTATTATTCTTTTGAATTGGTAGTTTACTAATCGCCCAGGTTTTTGTAAACTCAACCATTGTTCTTTAACAATATTTGAACAACGGCCGCTTTGGCCGCTTTGCTTGATTGCGTTTGCCCTTGCTTGAGATGGAAAATGAACTTCGCAGAGAGTGGTTTACATCAGCTTTTCAAGGCTCAAGCAACGGAGACTCCAGACACTCCGGCAATAGTGTTCGGCGCCGAGCAGACATCCTACGCACAACTGGACCAGGAGACGGATGCCTTGGGGGCCTACCTTCGACGTTGCGGCGTGTCAACCGATGACCCGGTGGGCATTTGCATGGAAACCTGCCCTGAGTACATCGTCGCGAGCATCGGAACATTAAAGGCCGGTGCGGCCTTCATGCCTGTGGCCCTGGACCTCCCCGATTCCCTTCTTGGCACATTGCTGTCCGAATCGCAGCCCAAAGTGGTTGTCACCAAGGCGCGGCACTTGCCGAGACTGAGTAAATTCCCTGGGCCCCTTCTATTGGCCGTTGACTCCGACCAGTCCTGGAGAGCGTTCCCTCCCGCGAAAGCTGAGATTCACGTCGACGACGGTGACCTGGCGTTCATCCCCTACACCTCAGGCACAACAGGACAGCCCAAGGGAGTGCTTCAGACCAATGGCGCTCTGATTTCATCCTACCAGGCCAGGTACAGGTTCAGTTCCTACAGCGTCGGCGACAGGGTCGCGTGCAACATCTTCTTTCCCTGGGAGTTCCTCCGGCCACTGTTGAAAGGGGGAACGGTATACGTGATTCCGGATGATGTGGTGTTCGCGCCGCGCGCCCTTACCGGGTTCATAGCAGAACACCGGATTGCCGATGTCCTGTTTACCCCGTCCCTGCTGCAGGGGGTTTTGAATTCGGCAAGCCCAGAACAGTTGCGCACCCGGCTGTCCTCGCTGCGTGCGGTCTGGCTGAACGGCGAGGTCGTGCCGGCCAGCCTGCTGAGGCTGTCGTTGGACGTGTTGCCCCGTTCTGCGCGCATGTTCAACACCTACAGCATCAGCGAGACCCACGACGCTTGCACCATTGACGTCACGGACTTGTGCCTGGACGGCAGGGATGCGTGCCCGGTGGGTTATGCAATGGACGGAGTACAGCTCCGGGTGCTCCCGGAAGGGCAGACCGTTCTGGCTTCCAGCGGAGTCGGGGAACTCTTCATCGGCGGTCGCGGACTGGCCCGGGGCTACCTGGAGAGGCCCGACCTTGATGCCGACAGGTTCGTCAGATGGAACGGCGAGCGGTATTACGCGACCGGCGACCTGGCCGAGGTTGGTGGGCAGGGTCTGACGACGATCATCGGCCGCAATGATTCGATGGTCAAGATCAGGGGCTACACCGTTTACCTGAGCGCCATTGAGGAGACCCTCCGACAGCACTGTGACACGTCGGATGCGGCGGTGTTGGCCGAGAACGAGGACGAAGCCAACAAGCGGCTCGTGGCCTACGTCGTCCGGGGGCCGGCGGCGGCGTGGAAGGTCGATGGGAAGAGCGGGACGAGCAAAGACCTGCGTGCTCTGCTGGAACGGCATCTGCCGCTCTACATGGTGCCCAGCCACTTCATGGAAGTGGAGACGCTCCCGATAAATCAACAGACGGGCAAACTGGAGCGCAAAGCATTGCCCGCACTGCGGCAAAGGAGACCTGCGGTTAGTCAGCACACCCCGCTGTCCCAGCACACAACCGCAAGGGAGCGTCGCAGGGCCCTGCGGGAGCTATGGAGTGAAGCGCTGGAAGTCGACGGCGACTCATTGGAAGATGACTGGAACTTCTTTGATCTCGGCGGCCACTCCCTGACGGGCCTGGAACTCACCCTGGGCATCGAACAGCTGTTTGGGATTGAACTGAGCGGCACTGAGATCTACGAGTACCCCACCATAAGTGAGCTGGGCGCGTACTTGGAAAATAGAGGGCCAAATATGGAATCCAGAGTTTCGCTGGCCGAGGACTCGATCCTGGACCCGGCTATTTCACCAGAAGGCGCCCCGAGAATTAAACGTCTCAGTGAGGCGTCCTCAGTCCTTGTGACGGGAACAACCGGATTCCTGGGAGCCTTTCTCGTCGACGAACTGCTGCGCGCCACGGGACCGAACACCCGGTTCTATTGCCTGGTGAGGGACCCGGACTCAGGCCAGGGCGGGTCCACCAACCGCGTGCTGGACGCATTGAAGCTTTATGGGCTGGCCGGTCATTCCGCTGGGCAACGGATCGTCCCGGTGGCTGGAGACCTCACATTGCCCAAGATGGGACTGGACAATGACGAGTACCGGCGGTTGGCGAAAGAGGTCGACCTGATATTCCATTGCGCGGCCTCTGTCAATTATGCCTACCCTTATTCTGTAGCCAAGCCCCACACCGTCGGCGGGACATTGGAGGTGCTCAAGTTCGCCTGTACCGACGTAACCAAGCCGATTCAGTACATTTCTTCCAACGGTATCTTCCCCGGAGGAGACGACACCCCCTACCTGGAAAGCAACGAGATAGACGGCTTCATGGACAGAATGGAGGGAGGATACAACCAGGCCAAATGGGTTGCGGAACGGCTGGTCTGGCAGGCTGTTTCTCGTGGCCTGCCGGTATGCATCTTCCGTCCGGGCAACATTGGCCACCACAGCGGTACGGGCACGGTCAACCCGAATGACTTTCTCTCATTGATAATCAAGGCTTGCGCCCGCCTCGGATGTGCCCCCTTGGCGCCGGAATGGTTCTTCGAGATGACGCCTGTCGACTTTCTGGCAAAGGCCATTACGAAAATTTCCGACGATCCCAGGCACCTGGGCAGGGTATACAACGTGGTCCAACAGGACCCCGTACCCGCAGATCAAGTTTTTGCATACATGGAGAACCACGGATACGTGGCGGACCGCGCTCAATTGGGGGACTGGAAATTTAGATTGGAAACGATGGCCGACCACGATGAGGACATGGAGTTGAAAGTTCTGGTCCGGTCACTGGAGTCAGTCGAGCCGTACCTGTCCGATACCAGCGTCTACGACATCAGCCGGTTCTCCGAAGCATTGTCGGAAATTGGTCTGGGAATGCCCGCAGTCGACGTCGACTACGTGACCAGATTCTTACGGAAGTTGCGATGAAAGTGAGTCTGCGGCGGATTCGATCTCTGCAGACCGTGGTTCTCGGTAAGAGGCAGGGCCAGAAACCGGGTCACGCTGGGGAGGACACCGCCGTACCAACCGGGACAGCACCGGAAGGGCTGCCCCGACACACCGGGCAGCATCTGTTGCTTGTCTTCTTGCAGCCATGACCTCTTCCGCTGCTCCTAGAAACCGGGCTGAAAAGCCCTGGTTGGGGAGAGGGATTTCGGCAGTAAAGCCGGCTTGAGCAGAATCACGGTCCACAGTATTCCGAGCCGGACCGCGCCGAAAATGGCCGTAGCATTGGCGACAACACCGTGGGAAACAGCCTGGACATCACTGGGGACGGCACTGAGGACGGCGCGGTGGGCTTCCGCTCCGCCGCCGACACTGTCCGACAGGTCGATTTTGCCCGCCACCAGGGTCAGGTTGGCCACTGTAGCCGCCAGATACAGCTGGAATCGCGTCTTGACCCTGCCGAAATAGCGGGACTGGCGGATGCCCAACTGGACCAGTCGGGCCAACCGGTGTTCCACCGCCACGCGTCGCGCTCGATATTCGTCGTAGGCGGCGCTCTGCTGCAACGCCCGTGCCTCCTGCAGGAGGCCTTCCTGGGGATGGATCAGCACCCGCCGTCCCTTCCTGCCCTTGGCTGCGATGCACTGGGACCGCAGTGGACATGTCCGACATTCGGCCCCGTCGAACTGGAAGGCCTGCCAGCGGTATCCCGCCCCGCGGCATCCGTCCGCTTTCCCGCTGGCACGATGGTGTGGGTGACCTGTCCCGCCGGACAGGTGCAACTGCCCGCGGCCAGGTCGATGACAAAGTCATCCTTGGGAAAGTGCTTCCGGTCGGGCCGGCCTGGCACCCGGGCTACCAGCTTGCGGCCCACATCGGCGAAGGTCTGCCTGGTAGCTCCGTCCCCATAGGCGGCGTCGCCCATGGCCTCCTGCACCGGTACACCGGTGTTGGCCTCGCTCTGTTCCACCAGTTCCAGCGCCCCCAGGTTGTCCGGAGCGTTGCCGGGCAGTACCGCCACGGCGGTGATCAGCTGGGAATCGGTATCCACCACAATCGCCGCCTTGTGCCCGTCAAAGCGCCGGCTGCTGCTCTTGTGCCCGTGGCGCATCTCCGGATCATGCACCGACATCATCCGGTCCCGGCTCACTCCATCCTTGAGGCTCACTCCGCCCTCAACTCGTTCCACGTCCTGGAGCAGCAACTGCCCCAGCAGTTCCGCCGCGTCCACAATCCGCTGCCGCTCCTCACCATTCTCGGGCAACTCTCCCTGGGCCTGCCGCGACAGCTCCAACAACCGGTCCGCGTCTCTCACAATCTCGGCCAGCAGGGTCTGCCGCGCCCGTTTGTCGCTCCAGTCGATGGCGGCCTCGCCCTTGATGCTGGAGGCAAGGTACCGCCCGTATCCCCGGGCCTTGCCCCATTCTTTGACGGTGATCTTCTCCACTGCCGCCAGCGTCCGCAGCAGTTGGACGATCCCGTCCGCCAACAGGTTGCAGGTGTCCTTCACCGCGCCCCGCCCCAGGATGTTGGTCGTGTCCAGCGCAACCCGCATGCTCCGCTTTTTCAGATAGCCCGACTCCCGGGCCAGCCGCAGGCTGGACTCGAACACCTCCCGCACCTTGTCGTGCAGGATCAGCTGGGCTCGGAACACCTGCAATGTGCTCTTGGCAAAGGGCCGGTCCTCCACCTCAATCCCCAGGGCCACTTTCCACCGGAGGTCAAAGTCAGCCCGGGCCTTGGCCTCGGCGTCGCTCACCTTGTCGTGGGACTGGAGCAGCAGCGCCGTCGCCAGCAGGCTGGGCGGCACGCTGTCCCGGCCGTTGTCCCGGGCAGTAGAACTCGGCGAAATCGGCGTCTCGGAACAACCGGCCCCGCAGCGAGGCCAGCAGACCGTAGAAGGTGTCCCGCCCCACGTGGTCCAGGTACAACCGGTCCGCTTCCCAGAGACCCCTCTGATCGGATCGCTCTCCCAGCACTATCAGCCCTCGCTATTTCTTGATGCCCCAAGTATAGCTGACCACCCGGCTGAAGCCAGTTTCCGGCCAGATTTCTAGCAGTATTCTGCATCGTCGCCATCAAGGACGCTCCCGGGAACACCGAACTCATCTACTTCAAAAATGGTCAATACTACGAGGAAGCCGTCGAAGCCCCAGGTTTCGACCCAGTAAAATTGGCAATACAATCCAGGTTCGAGCCCAAAACCGCCGAATACGTCACAGCCAGGGTCAGAAGCGACATAGCCGCAGTACTCAACAACCTTGACCAACAGCTCAAAAGGCGAGCCCCGATGTTAATACAGGGGAGGAGAAGAAAATCTCTCAACATCCCAGCTTCTGAAAGCCTCAGCCAGCCCGCGCCGAAATCCCGTGGGCCAGACACCGAGGCGCCTCTGAAACCTCAAAAATAACGTCCCACCCGTCACCGCAGCAAGTACGCAGGGCCCTGAAGATGTCCTGATACATCCGCTCCTCCAGCCACGTTACAGTAAAGAGACTGGGAACTTTAAACCACCAGGGTTTCACCCTCACAGCGAACACCCTCTGTTGCCACCAGCCAGGTGTCAAAGGTGCTCCGCGGCAACTCCTCAACCAGGACCTCCAAAGCTGTAGCCCACATGGCCTGGGCCTCGGAAGACGACTCTCCCCCAGCTTCCACCATTGCAGACGAAGCCTCTTCGCAGGTGCAAAGTACCTCGACCTCAACTTCCACAACCGGAGCGTCAGGCTGTTTACTCAACCAGGCCACCAGCCGGAAGGCATGGGACTTGCTCAGAGCCTCCAGAGACTCAGAAAGCTCGGTGCCAGGGTAAATATCCGGCCAAGAGGCCCATATGTCCTCCACGGAAAGGGCGGTCCGTTCCTGATGCCCGAAAATCGTGATCAACTGCTTCTCGGTCAGAGGCTCCTGAGTCATGTGAGCCAGCTGGGTTACAGCGCTGTAACCCTCTTTGCATGACAGCGGCCCGTTATTATCATTATTAAGTTTTTCCATTCTCCCAAGGAATTCTGATTGAGCATCTTTCCCCGGGGATCTAATAACTTCTAGTAGTGTTAATGCGCTGTCAGGCATCTGACGGTCAGCGGGCACCAGCTCCATTACAGCCTGCAGAGCAGTCTCAACAGCATCCACAAAGCAAACCGCTCAAGTTCCTTCTTGAAACCGGCAACAGTCGTGCGACCGCCAATGCCCAGGACCGACGGCTCCCAGCCAGTATCCTCACCGGTCATCCGGTAGGCTTGGCCACGGTGCCCCTGATGCGTGCGCATATCACGACGTTCAACTCGGCCGACGTCGATGAGGTCCTGCAAACAACGGTTGGTAACCTGACGAGAGGCGTCAGCCTCAGCCGCGATCATGTCCTGGGTCAGATAGACCCAGCCGCCGGTGGAGGGAAAGAAGTTGGCCAGGGCACGACCGACAGAGTCATGGGCATAGGTGAGACGAGGTTCAGTATGTCCCTCCCAATGAACCACAAGAGGGTCGCAGAACGTCCCTTTGGGAAGCAGGACGTCTCCCTCGAGCTCACCGCGAACAAAGTCGTCGCCGGCGGGAGAGGATTGGTCCGGAAAACCGGCCTGGTAGGAGGACATAGCCCGTCCCACAGTCGGGGACGCAACAGAGGTAGCCTTTTGCTTTTCCACGAAATTCTCCTATAAAAAGGCTGTTCAACTCAGGAGAACATCGTGATATAATCCCGGTAGAACATAACCTTTGGGTGGGGGATGTTCTGGTGTTGGTTCTTGCCCCGCTGATGGCCTGTCAGCGGGGCGACACTATTTTCGGGACTTTTTCATAGCCACTCCCTCCTGCCGGTCACATCGCCACAGGGCAAGAGCCGGGACCCCACGACACACCCAGCGCCAACCCAGGTGGCAAAACGCCACCAAGGCTGGAAACACCAGACCACCATGGAAGAACGAAGGATTGCTGACCGTAGCCGGACCACCAAGTCCAGAAGCCCACCAAGCCTGCGACCAAACAGACATAGTAGATAATTAAGCGCCTGGAAAAGGTGGATAAACGGGGTTATACCGCCGGGGCCAGCACACGATGCCAAAACGCGGCGAACGTAAAAAAAGGAAGAACCAAGAAAAGATGAGGATTCCAAGACGTCCGAGCCAGGACTTGAAACAGCCCCGCACAAAGACAGATGGGGGTACCTTTCCCCCGATTTGAACGTAAATTCGGTTGAGAGCAACCTGCGTTGCTGGTATAATAAAGCAGTCACGTAGCTCATTCCTACGTTGGCACCAGCCGACGGATTACCGAGATTTCCGTTGGCTATCGGCTTCCTGGCCGGCCGATTCACCACCCCGCCGGGTGGTGTTTCTGGTTTAGGGCAAGAAGTTATTTCACAGTTTACCACCCCAGTTTGTTTTCAATCAACATAACGCGAGATCCGCAGGAAACACCCCAAATCATCCCCGGCCCCAGGTCTTAAACTCCTCCCATTCACCACTCACCTGCCAGCAGGACCTATTTCTGATCCAAAACGGTTTCCAATGCCCCTGTAATTACCGCCTTTGGTTTTGATACTATTACCACGTTCACGAACTCAGTAATTACCACAGGTGGTAAAGATGTCGAAATCGCTTGGACTAGCCTCATTCAAGGGCGGTGTCGGAAAGACCATGATCGCGTACAGCCTTGCCGAGCGGGCCACGGCCTCCGGCCTCAGGGTTATACTCCTCGATTTTGACCCTAATGAAGGGCCAATGGCGCTGGCCACCCTACGTGACTATAGTCTGCCCACCTGGTCTATGTCGTCAGTGCCACTAACCGCCTCCGGCCTCCGGGCCCTTGAAGAGCATTTGAAGTCAGATGATCTGGACCTCGTAATATGCGACCTTCCAGGAGCTGACAGCACACTGTTCCTGCGTCTGCTCGGAAACCTTGACCTAATCCTGTCGCCACTGGGGCCAGGAGTATCTGACCTCTTTGTGGCTGCCGAGTTTGCAGCCACCCTGCAGCGGTTCAGCCTGCCCGGATGGCTCATTGGAAATACGCTCCAGCCCGGCAAGGCGCGTCGGGAGGAATTCGCAGCATCGCTCCAGTCCTACGATTACATAAACCTCTGCCCGGTGCAGGTGGTCAACCGGGTGGCACACATTGATGCCGCGCGGCGTGGGCTGTGCGCCTGCGAGTGGGATCCCAACGGACAAGCCGCGGACGAGATCAACCAGCTCTGGATCTGGGTTTCCGAGAAACTCGAGTTGAACACTCTTGCCCTGGTGGCGTGAGATTGAGCCAAATGCAATTGAGGAGGCGACCGTAATGACCAACAGAGGAGTTCAAACCCCGCGGGTGCGTCCGAAGACGGAGCGTGCAAAGCAGCAACTGCAGGATAAGGAAGCTGAAGAGGCCCGCGAACAGGCCGCTGCCGAAGCAGAGGCAGATCGCATCAAGGCCGAGTCAGAGACTGGTGCCGCTGGAGACCTGGTGACCTACCTCAAGCAGGCCAACAAGGGAAAGATTACCTTCAACCTGTCAGAGGAGATCTGCGAGGCAATTCGGGACCATGCCAGGCCGTTACGAATGTCCCACTCCGAGATTGTCGAGCGCGGGGTCCGGATGTTCTTCCAATCCGAGCTCATCAAAGTACCAGGCCCGATAGACCCTTAAACCATGTCTTCCAAGGAAACTCAGGACAAGGTTACAATAATGCTGTATTTACAGAAGGTGGTATTTCAGGCCTTACCCACTTCCGGCATTAAGTCCTTCCACCATTAATACCGTACCGCCTTATCAAAAAGGAGAACTGCCATCATACAAAAACTGCTCTACTTCCCCTTGCTAATCGCCCTCGCAACCCTCATCGCCTGCTCAGGCCAATCGCAAACACCAACGCCAGCCCCCGTCGCCCAGACACCAACGTCCGCACCGGTCCAGTTGGCCACCACTGCACCGGTCGAAGCCCCGGAGCCGACTGAAGTACCAGCAGCGACCAGTGTTCCCACCGGAGTCACTCCAACGGCCACCACCGCGCGTCCGACCGAGCCGCCGGCACCGACCGTCATGCCAGCGCCAACAGCCGAGGCAGAAATGACCCAGCCCCAAGGCTTAATGACCCAGCTCTCCACCGAAGAGCAATCCTGCATCTCGGAAGCCGGAGGCACCGAACAGTTCATGGCGGCAATAGACAACCCCGACCTGGCGTCACCCCAGGAAAGAGACGCATTCGTCAACTGCCTGGAACACGAAAGCCTGCTGGCGCTATTCCTGAAGGGATTCACCGACCAGACCGGACCCCTAAGCGATGACACCTCAGCCTGCATCAGCACCGGATTCCGGGACTTCGACCTGCAGGCCATGATGCTCAGCAACCCCGCCCCAGGCGGAGAGGAAACCGCCATGATCCAGAGCATGGCAGGATTCCTGATCGCTGTCAGCTGTCTGAACGAAGAAGAGTATCAGGTAGCCAGTCCAGGCCTGGACCTGCAGCCTGACGGCAGGGAAGCCTTGCAGTGCATCACCGACACTCTGGGCGGGCCGAGAGAAATAGCAGCATCGCTAGAGTCCAAAGAAGGAAAACCACCAATGGCCTTCTTCAATGCAGCATCCAAGTGCGGGCTAGACATGATGGGAGGACCGCCAAATTAAAGCCCGGAGTCGCTGCGCTCCAGGCTGACCGGTCCCCGGTTAAACTGAAGGAGATTATAATACTGATGTAATTACCGTAGGTGGTATTTCCGGTGTTACCTTAGTCCGACCTTACTGCCTTACGGAAGTAAGCACTTCCCGCCTTCGGAATAGAATATTCAAAGAGAGAACTCAGAGAGCACCTGACCATAGGAGGGCAATCATGGCCGGCCAAGTCTGCGACTGCCCAGAACCCTGCGCCTGCTATGCCGAAGGCTACGTCCAAGGCAGGTACAAGGCCTACTTCGAGATGAACAACTTCAACTGGACCCAGCACGCCATAGGCTGCGCCTGCGAAGCTTGCGCCGCCTTCGGCAAGGTCATAGTCAGGATGCTGGAGAACATGGCCACCAGTGAGGACCAGGAAACACGGCTGGTCGGCTATCACCTTGCCGCCTGGCTGAACGGCAGCCTTAACGATGAAAAACTAACCTAGCCCAGACAACACTGGAACCAATGACAAACAGAGAAGATGATGCCGGCACCCCGGCCGAAAACAGTTCCCAAGACCCCAGTAGTCTCTGGAGGACGATAACCGACCCCCACACCGGCCAGGTGACCCTCACCAACACCGAGGACGACCCCTGGGACACAGAGGTCCTGCTGCAGCTCCCCCACGGCGCCAAGCCGGTGGACCCCGGATCCGCCCTACTCGAGATTTACGTGGCTATGGTAATCGGAGACCGAGCCAAGACCCGGGACTTCAGCGACCAAGTCGCCCTGGACAGGTGCATGGACGACGTCCGCACCGCCATAACCTACGTCCTGGGTTGGGTCGACGCCGCGGCGCCAGAAGGGCTGGATGAGGAAGCTAAACACAGGACGATAATGCAGCAGCTTAGGGGAATGCCCATCGAGATGCTGGACAAGACCTACAACCGCTACCGGATGGAGAACCACGGCATCAACCTAGACGATTACCCCGAGTACAAGACCTACCAGACCTTCTACGAAACGGGCATTGCCCCGCCTAGCCACGAGCAAATGGCAGACATAATAATTGCAAACCGGGGCGGCCGTCAGAGAGATAGAGGGAAAATTAAGGAGCGGAGGCGGGTCAAGTCAACGAGTGCCAGCAGAGACCGACGCCGCCAGGTCCACGACTTCAGTATTTACTGATCGAAAATCAGGAAGCTTCCTAACCCATCACCAGGACCGACACAACATTCCGGTTGAATTAATGACCGGTGCAACCGAATAAACCCGGATTGATTCCTCAACAGGGACTCCCAACACTGGACGCCACGCTGCCACCCGTCGCTGAAGTTAAAACAACAATCAACAGATGAACCGAGCAAAACAAGCCACTTAGTTGATATAAAGATATAATCAAACTAAGAGCCATTCGGCTATGGACCAATGGAGAAAGAGGTATGAACCAGACCACAATTGGCGGGTTCCACGAGCACGACGCCAACCAAGTTATAGCATCGTGGTTGAACGAATCCCGTTCAGATTGGCAAGCGTCGGGTGAGAGAACAAAAACCATAAAAAGGGAGCGCCGACCGCCCCGACATCGTTATTCAGCAAGGGGATCGAATGCCCGTAATCATTGAATGTGAGTACGGACGTCCAGCGGTAGGAGACGCCATAAAGAGACTCGGGAAAGAGTTGGTCAACGAAACACGGCCATTTACGGAAATAATTGCCATCGGCATTGACAAAAAATGCGACGACGACTCGCCCCTAGAGTTCCGAAATAGATTGGCGGCAAGGGAGCTAATCCTAGAGATTCAGCTCGTAAGAGGAGTTGACAGAGCAAACAGCACCATTTGGCCCTCAACCCCACTACCTTGCAGACTTGAAGACCTCATCGCGTATTGCGAATACGCCCAAGTCCCACAAACTGTCATTGACGACCAAAGTCGACAAATCGCCCAAAAGATAGAAGCAGCAGGAAGCAGTCTACTTACCAGCATCCGAAGAACCGGAGTCTTAGGTGAGCGAACCCTCACCAAACTCCGAGAACAGACTGGCTGCCGACACCCACACGAAAAGGAACCAAATGCCATTCCTCCAGAAGAACGGCCAGACTTCCTGACAGCCAGCTGTCCTAACAAATGTGACCATGACGCTCAAGCAGCACGTACCACGTGTGCCATATGGCTTATCGCCATAGACCTACAAAACGACCTAGCACAGTACAGCGAAGAACTACAAGCACGGAACTTGAAAACCACTCAAGCAATAAAAGACTCCGCCACCGTGGGAATTCTGACAGCCTCAGAAATATTAAAAGAATGGACCACCATTTCAACGGTCAACTACCTCCCAGTAATAGAAATAGCCATCGACACAATGAAAGCTGGTGAGTTGGGGACCTCCATATCCGACATCCTGGAATTACTCCACCAACTGAGCGAACAACTTAACGGGCTCCATGCTAAGCATATTTACAACTTTGCTGGCGAACTCTGGCAATTGATCGTGACCGACCGCGAAGAACGAGCAGCCCACTACACGAGGCCGGAGATCGCAGAGCTCCTTGCTGCTATATCCGCCGCAAGATTCAAAGGGATGACCCACCAGCAAATCGGAGAAATTAATCTCATGGATGCCGCCTGCGGTACAGGTACCCTCATTGGAGCAGGAGAACGAGCTATAAGACGCGAGTACACTGCGAAAGGTGGTCGAGACGCCGAGCTTCACCGAAAGAGAATGGAACAAAAAAATATATGCGATGGACATCAACGGGATAGCCGGCACACTCACTGCCAAGAGACTGACCGACATGAATGTCGAGCAGGACTACGCCAAGAGCAAAATAGCAGTAATTACAGACCCAGCTGGTTCTCTAATCCTTCTCAACCCGACCATTACCGGCATTTCACAGGTTCTTGGATACCGGTCGGTTACACCAACAAAGGGAATAAGTGGTGAGGAAGGATATTTCCATGTAATGCTAGAGTCCATCAATTGGTCCCTGATGAACCCTCCCTACAGCAGGCCTAGGAGAGATAGACAACAGGCAACCAAAGGGCTAACGAGGCCACGGCAAGAGGCCAAAAAACGCAAATACCTTATGTCGAACGGACAAGCCCGGCTTAGCCACTGACTTTGGAAACATGACTAACATCAGGCTAGCCCCGGGTGGAATTTACTCCACCGTATTACCACTTACCGCAGCTCACGCTCCTACCTGGAAGGCATGGCGCAAAGAGCTTGAGAAGGATTTCGAAAACATCACAGTAGTAGCCAATACAGCTCCAAGCCAACTGCAAAGCATGAGCGCAGACACCGGAATGGGCGAGTTGCTAATCATCGCAACAAAAAAAGCCCGGCGGCCAACTACCTGGCAAGCCACTAGAATCCTAGCTGTAAACCTGGCAACATCCCCCAAAACAATGGCTGAAGGCTATGCCATGGCCCAGGAAATATCGAACATCACTAGAGAACAGGAACAAGGGAGAATCAGACATGGAAGCTACTCGTGGGTAACCCAAAGTGAAGCAGGATTCCCTTGGGGAGCAGTCGGCATCAGCAACAACGACACTACATTAGTCAATGAAACGCTGATGGAGGCCAAAGCATACGACCCCCAAACCCTCGAAGTCCATGATCTAGCTATTCCCATGACAACGCTATCAAAACTGGCAGGAACCGGACCTACACACGACCTTATAGGACACCCTCCGGACGGCGACGGAAGAGGGGCATTCAAATGGACACCACTCAAGGAAATGGAAGTCAAACCCACACAACAATCCATGTGGGCAGCCCAATCAAACGAGCAGAAGACCATCAAGACCAACGCTACCCATGGAGGGGCGGAAACAGACAAAGCCCTCGCCAAACGAATGACGAAACTCCGTAGCAAATGGTTCACCAGCCGGAACATGCGATGGACATCCCAGGCGGTAACTGTTGTAAACACACCGCGGCTGAACCACGGTGGCAGAGCATGGAATGCGCTCCAAAACGTAGAAGACGATATAGGGAAGTGCCTTGCTCTTTACTACAACAGTATCCTCGGAGCGATAGTA